TTTTGGAAGCCAAATATGCTATTGGTAGTAGAATTATGAGCATTTAGCTGCTTGGATTCTTGTAAGGCCCTCAAAAATTTTACGAATTTAACGAATAAAGAAAAATTTAGCTATGAAAATCATTATTATAAATCGTTTTTTTCGAATTGTGATTTTAATTATCATTATCAACTTATCATAGGTTTTAATTCGTTGTTTCCGAATTATGATTTTAATTATCATTGTCGACTTATCATAGGTTTCAATTATTGTTATTGCTGTTTTACAGTTTTGTGAATGTTTTTAGGTTGTTGGCAGCTGAAGCGCAAGCGAAAATATGCCGTGATGATACAGTTGAAGGTCTGACATTCTATCCAAATCGATTTCTGACATCAAATTGAGCGATTTGTATGGATTAGTTATTAATTTAGGGCCTGTGCGCTTTATCTGTTTCTCCAATGAGTTTTTTCAGTCGATAGATTTTTGCATATTTTTGTACTAGTTTAGTTTGAAAGCTTGTGATAGATCTATACGCGGTGTATTTTGGGTTGTTGCTTTTGCCGTTGCTGCTGATCTCAGTTGTAATAGTGCCGCCGCCACGGAGTTTTGTCTCATTTTATAATTTTTCAACTTTTTTCACTGAAACATTTCTAGGAGACTTACAAAATTTGTAAGCAGGGCCCTTCTTTTTAATCCTTGGGAATTCAGGAAAACTCGGTTTTTTGCGTCTAGAAAAAAATCCCATATCCTTTTCTAAGCATTTTTTACCAAAATTTATGCTGTATTTCTACTTAGAATCGTCCTAATTATCGGCGTAGAGTTTTAGCAACACGGGGCTGTGCATTATTTTTTGCTTTGCTGAGACTTTTTCTTTTCCAAGTTGTATGTTGTATATCTTGAGTCTGAGCTTTTCGTCCTGCATTCTTGCGCACGTCGTTTTGGCGCACGCCACCCGAGTAGACGTTTATCTTCTTGGCAAATTCCATTAATTAATGTATGTTAGTTGCGCCAGCTTTTGTGCATTAGATGTAGAAAAAAAAAAACCCAGCTTTTCTGGTTTCCGAGTTAGCAATTTTCCTGCCAAAATTTTCATGTATTCATATCTGAGGCCCAGACATAACTGAAAATTGATTTCATGCTCCTGGAGACGCATCTTGGTCAAGGAACCCATTGGCAAAGTTTCAGCATCTTAGCTTATCCTGGTTGTCAAGTTGAAATACCTGGACTGACGCGCGCACACATACATGCGCATACGCACACATGCACACACGCACGCACACCCCCACGGGTCATCTCACAATATGCGTTTTTGCATTTGCATAAATGCCGTAGCAACTTTTGAATAATAATGATTTTCTCACCATTCATTACCGGTGTATTCGCTCTCGATGCATGATAATGATAATTTTGTTGTTGATTTCCACAGTCGAAAATTGTTCATTATTTATTTGTAGTTTATTTCTGTGTTTGAACGAATTTTTTTGTACAGGTCAGCATGCCGGGTACCTGCCTGCTTTAGATAATAATAAATATGTTAGTGCATAGCTTTTTTCTTTTCCGTTTTTTTTCACATTACATCGATGTGCTTCGTTTCACTGATCTATTAACGCAACATGATTATTGCTTTTGTGTAACTGCAATAAAGAATTTTCACGAATTCAGCGAAAAAAAATTCGTAGAATCGTTTGAATTCACGTACATATTTTGATTTTGAAAAAAGTTGTATGTTATTAAGGTTTAAGATTGGTATTGACAGATCTGGCATAGTGCTACGTGTAATGCTCGAGTAACATCGCGTTGGCGTGGGATTCCCAGATGGCTTGTATCAGAGATTTTAGTGTCCTTGAAAAAAAAGTAGATGCTTCGGTTAAATAAGTTTTTCTAAGGTTTTTTTTTGTAGGAGGATTTCCGGATTCGTTCTTTTGTTTGAGCGATATGATGTTACTAATATAAATTAAAATATTAGATCCCCAGTGGACTTTTTCCATGTAATTATCGAGAGGGGGAGGGAGGCATCGACAGCTTTTCGTATTTCGGTGCTTCAGCTTTATTCTTAGCTTTTCGGCCCCAGGTTGAATTTTGTAGTGTAATCAGGGAAAGATGGGGGTAAAGCACGAATGCGGGGTGACGAGGATGTAGGCGAATCCGGTGAAGGAGTTTTTCGCTTCCCTTCCCCTCCCCCTGTTCGCCCCGTCCCAGTGACACAGCACCAGTGCTGCAAAAGCACGGCTCTCTTCATAAATAAAGCTAAAATAATTCTAACTAGCAGTGTTACAACTCTTTTCCTAGTTTTTGCATAGTTCCAAAGTAGGAGAAGCTCTCCCCCCCATGACCGCCAGGAGTTTGTCTTGGGTGCTTATGGATGAGGGCTGGGAATGATCAAAGATTATACCTGACAAATTGTTCTCGAAAATACCTTTATGGCCGCATTGCTGAGAAGTGTAGAGGAGATACGTTTCTGTCGTTTACGGGTATGATAAAGTGTTAATTTACGTTTTTGTAATTTTTTTTTTATTTTTAGGTTGGAATAGGAGAATTGTAAGTTCAAGGACCTGTTATAGGCAGGCGCGCCTGAATGTGAGATGTCGACTTCGGCACAATTCGATGAGCACTACGAAGAGCCGCTTCCGCCACATGATGAAGATGATGCGCCCGGAGGCACTGCTGCTGGAACAATGAATGGTGGTACCACGGAACCAGAGACTTCTCAGGTCTCCTTCATTCTACACGAAATGATTTTTCAACCAACAAAATTCAAAAATTTTCTCCTTGTCTGCTCTCATTGGGAGACGAATGCATTTGGGAAGTAGTCATATGCTGGCAAAGCTGTCGATGGCTTCCTCTTTCATAGATGAAGCACTGCAACTGTTGACGAGGTGCTGCGGCGGTGTTCAGTTAAGGCGTCTATGACTTAATGGACCGAAACATCTTATCTCACTCTTATCTCCTTCTCGCATACTGTAATCTATCACATCTTCGCCATTTAAGCTTCCAGGGTTAACCTGTTTGCTACAGTCGGCTTACAGTTTAGCTGACCAACAAGCATATTTCAAAAGCAAAAGTATTTAAAGCCGGAAAGCATCATGAAGTGGTAAATAGCATCATTTTAATGCTAAATGTTTCAGAAATTTTAAAAATACAGTGAATATCCCTGGCTAGGAGATTGCAAGTGGACGGGGCTATGTTTAACCTATGCAGATTGTTGACATTGTTGGCCTTCCGTGAAGAGAAACACAGTCGAATTTTGACAATTAATGAAAAACAGGAAGTACCATTTAGATCTCGCGAATAAGTAAGCCTGTAGGTACAGTGACCTGGTAACCTACCACCTGTCTGTGTTTCATTCCTGAGCTGTAAACGCAAACGGCAAAATCGGTACGAAATGGTACGAAACGTGGAAATTTGCATGTCTTGGATTATGCCATGTCACGCTTAGTGCTATCCACTTATAGAGCACACATTGTTATGCGGAAATTTGCATAGTTGCCAGAGGGCGTTCTACTTTTGTCTGTTTCATCACTTTTATTTGGCTTGCCATTATTACTACAACCAGTTCCCTGTACGATTCGTTTATTCGTTTCTGTAATAATTTTTGCTGGCATGTACGGGGGGCTACTTTAAGCTACTAAGCATTGCTTGGAAAAGGGAGCAACGGCGAAGCCTTATCAGCAGGTGGCACATATATCACCTCCAAATTCTCCTCCATCCTCCCCCTCCCCCTCCGCCCTTTTGATTGGGAGTGTTTGCGAAGGAGAAATTGATTCTCTCAAATATTTTGGTAGACATTTATTTGTCGCTAGAAGCTGTTTGCTTCAGTTGGCATATTTTGTAGCATACAAGTATTTTTGGATGTTACTTCGATGTTGTAGTATAAGAGAGGTTGCTAACAGTTGAACAGCTGAGGAACTATACGAGCAATCGAGGGGGTGCTATCTTCTAAACATTTACTTTCGAAAAAACGACTAGGAAGATAATCCGAGAAACAAAATCCCGAATTACGGTTTAGCCTAGCAACAGCCTCAAATTATTTTAGCAAACTTATCCCACCCTTCGTTTTAGCTTTTTGACTCCTCCGGCCGTTCCACATTTTGATTTCTTTGGACCGTTCACTTCTTTTAAGATTTTTACGATTCGGCCCCCAAACGGCCGCAATTTATCTTTCCAATACAGGGTGCGTAATTTTTCCGTATTTACTTCTGAGTTATGTCGAAGTGCTCGGTAATGAAATGACAGTTTAGCAGTGTAATTTGCAGGAAGAAAATGCAGTTTCGGACGACGATGACAGCGACGATGAGGAAGTGGTGATCACAGTTGGCCAACCAAAACCGAACGTACCATTTGTCTCGGTGCGTTTTTTTTTTTTTTGGTTTCGTTTTTGAGCCATGAATATGGTAATCATTACGGGGAGTTGTTGTTGATTTCCTATTTTATTCGTGATATTTGGGATATATCCATACATCAGGCATAACATTATCATCTTTTGATGCTAAATAATATGCCATCAGACAATAGGCTCGGAAAGGCCCGAGTAGTTGCATTCGTTTTTGACTTATCATAAGTTTTTATGCGTTTTTTTTTTTTTGCAATCTATGCAATGCAGAAAACGTATATTGGCGAGGGGTTGTCATCAATATGCGTT